TCAGTGGAGGAAAGATAGCCTCTTTAATAAATGGTGTTGGAAAAACTGGATGTCAACCTGCCACAGATTAAAATTAGACCCTTATCTTTCGCCATGCACTAAATTAAAATCCAAATGGGTTAAAGATCTAAATATTAAAACAGAAACATTAAACTTGCTGGAAGGTAAGTTAGGCAGAACTCTGGAAGACATTGGCATAGGAAAAGACTTTATGAACAAATCCTCAGTAGCACGGGAACTAGCAGATAGAATCAACAACTGGGATCTCACCTTATTAAAAAGGTTCTGTACTTCAAAAGAAACCATCAGCAGAACTAAGAGACAATGTACCATGTGGGAAAATATTTTTACCAGCTGTTCCTCAGACAAAGGACTATTATCAAGAATATATAAAGAACTCAAAACAACCAGCCCCCCCCAAATATAAAGACCCGATTCAAAAATGGGCATCTGAAATGAACAGACATTTCTCAGACAAAGAAGTAAAAGCAACAAGTAAATATATGAAAAAATGTTCCACATCACTGATCATTAGAAAAATGCAGATGAAAACAACACTGAGATTCCACCTCACCCCACAAAGAATGGCTGCTATCAAGAAATCACACAATAACAAATGTTGGTGGGGTTGTGGGGAGAAAGGAATCCTTAATTATCGACTATTTTTAAAGAGAATTGATCACAAATGTCATAAAACATGCCCCTCCGCAACAAGAAATGAGATATAAAAGAATTTTGTTTTTATTCATAACCCACAGTAATAATTTAGCTACAAGAAACAGCTGTCTTTCTTTTCTGATAGTATACAGATATGTAAAGAGACATTATGACCGAAAGATTTTTCAAATATAAAAATAATGAAATAGAAGAAATTAACATTATTAACCCCGGAACACTGAAAAGGTATTTCATTTAATTCAGTATATCCATTTACTCAGTTTACTCATTAAATCTCATAGCACTCAGTAGGATAGTTGTTATGTCTACTATTGAGATGAGAAAAATCAATATCTGAGAATCTGAATAACTGCCGCAAAGTGAGAGTCCTAGTCAAAATCAAGACTGCAGTGTAATAACCCCAAAGTTCAATTTATGCCTAACATTTCTCTAAATATCACTTTGGAAATGTTGTCATTTATTCCATTATGCGCAACAGATGATCTGGCTGCAGGAATCCCTCTGTACTGCCTACAAAGCATCCAGACAACCAGCAGTATAAAATACCGATGAAGAAGATTTTCACAATTAATTCATCTCCTGATGTGTGTGTGTGTGCTGCCCAGTGCTCTTCATGGGTGTGAACGAAATCTATCAAGAACTTCTTAAAAAGTGACCAGTTAGCAACCTCATCCTTTCGTTTCCATAAATTTAAACACTTCCTGCGTGATCCATCAAAACTCTGGGTAACACTAATTGCATATGAGTATGTAACTGACTTGAGTTTCTGAAAAGAAAAACTGGGCCTGTGTGCTTGCTTTCAAGTCAATACCTCAAACAGCTGTGGGAAAAATAAAACTCATAGAAGGCAGCCTGAGAAGAAAAAATGAGAAAGCAAACAAAATAACACAGGTATCACAAAGATGTGAACAACCGAAATGCTTAGTAGCTCTTTCTTATTTTTGTAGAGCTATATACATAGTGCAAATAATGTGTGCAGGGACACACATACACACACACACACATACACACATACACACACTCTTCACTTGCAATCCCCAACTGAATGGTGGTAACTTTATTGCTGACAATGTTTGTTATACTTTAGAGTCAATGAGAAATCTTTGCATTTAGGAGCAATTTTTAAAAATTAAAACCAAATTATTTGTATTTTGTTTCTATCCCCTGCTTATTTTTTTATATATATAGTTCAAGGAGAATTCCTGAAAACTAAGACATTGTCTTAAATACTCATTTCTTAAAAATTGCTTCTGGAACATAAAGAAATAGGAATAAATGGATGACTATGATGCTTATATAAAATGTTTTTATATACAGATTCCGCTAAAAAAATGTATACAAATTTGAGGAAAAGAAAAGTAGCATGAAGGCTTTTCAACAGATAGTGTTACCCTCCTATGGGGAACCCTAGAGGATGTCGTATATTGCAGAAAACCCATTACACTGCTGACTATCTCACTACTGTGCAGCAATCCCACTAATCAAGGTCCCCAAGCACAGTTCGCTGTACTAATAAATATCTGGACGTCATTGGCCACCACTTTGAGCACCTCTTGAAATTTCAGAGCCCAAAGGTGACCTGTATTAATCTCATGATGTCTCAAGTTCAGCATTAAAATATTTGTACAAATTTTTCTTTTCCTGGAGTGTGCATACATTTATGCATTTTAAGTGAAAGGGAGGTAATTTAATATCTATATTACCTTTTCTATGTGCATTTGACAGTGGTCATTTTCTCTTTACTAGGTTATTCAGGTCAGTACAATTACACTTCAGTTATTTCTACTTTTGAGTTCTTCACAAATTTGTACATACATGTATTTTATAAAATTAACATTCATAATGCTGTAGTTTTCAAAGTACACTCTAAAAATGTGATAACACTGTTACTTCTTTTTGTCCTTTCATCTAAAATTAAAATATGAGACAACTGGACACTTAAAATCATTCAAATAGTAAAAGTTATCAGAGGGGTCCATAATACCGATTATGCCCAAAACAGGCTGTGAGCGGTGCAGGTCACAGTTAACCCCGCAGTGGGCTTGTTTTGAGAAGTGAGTCTGGCTGAAGCCTAGGTTAGAGTAATTTGCATCCAAATTCTATTCCCCCAAGTAAAACCTTAACTCGAAGGACAGTGTTCTAATTATAATCCTGTATTTTGTGTATTCTGTTCCTAATTCAAGAGTGCTTTGTCTTTTTCCGTTATGGCCTTCTCTTCATTTCTGTGGTCATTGCATGACCGCATGTTCTTGCACACAGTCTACTCCTCGCATGTGGTTCCCCTTTACCCCAGTTGATTACCAACAAAAATCAGTGGTGTCGACTGACCAGTGCCTTTGCTGGTTGTACCAGCATGGGTCATCCTCGCTCCCCAGTTTCTTTTTCTTTAGTTCTAACTTTTAGGTTTGTTTATTTCCCCCCTCAACCTTGAGCCATAGCACCAAACAGCAGACTGCAACCTATTGCAGAGATTTCCAGTAAGTCATACCACAACTAAAAGAAAATAACAACACATGCAAAAAAATAAAAAAGAAAGAAAGAAAGAAAGGAAATGAGTCCTTCAGAAGCATCACCAGAGAATGTAAGCTGCCAGAGAAAGAAAATGTTTTGAGCTAAAAATTAAAAATTTAAATATGCTTGAGCTACAACTTGTCTCCAAGAACCTCAACATGAATTCCTCCATTCCTGTGACATTTTCCCATGGAGACACAGGGTCTACTTTCTTTCCCTCTTTGAGTCTGAGACTTTGCTTGACCACTCGGATGAGTTTTGTGTGACATCCTGGAGGACCTGAGGCTGAGTCTAAATAACTCTTGCTGGTTTTCATGAAGCTCTAGCCATGCTACCTCTTAGAACACCAACTTTAGTAGAAACCAGGGCTACATATGATGGCTATTACCTTGCTGTGTGCTGCCATGTTATGTAAAATTAAAGTCTCGTAGAGTACAACTGCAAGATCAGTTGTTGTGCAGGAAGTATCGTCTTTTTTTCTAGTGCAATGAAGTCGACAAAATTTGTCACTAAACCAGTATTTCTTCAGTTTTCTTAGTTAATAAGGTCATTTTAGGCTCATCTACACAATCTTTTTTTTTTTTTTTTTTAAAAAAAGAAGGAAACAATCATGACAAACATAGTTCAGTCTCTGACCATTTTCATTCTGATCATGATTCTAGGATTGGAAATCTTTGTAAGTTATGTGCTGCACTTTTCAGTATGAAGTAAAAAGGATGAGAGAGAGACTGCTGTTTGGCAGTTTGTACAGAAAAGTTGAGGGCAATGCTTTGGCAATTCTAAACCTACTCTAGTGCACGAAAAGAACATTTCTTCTTGGCCCCTGGTGTCAGTGTGTTACTCTACTCACAGGGTGAATGACTATCTGTGCTCAGCTGGCTTCATTACGGCCGGCAGATGAGATAAACTTACCACAAAGAGCTTCATCTGACCTATCGGAGCAGTCTGGCTTGTAGTCACAAACAAGGTAGGAAGCGATGCATTTTTTGTTCTGGCACAAAAAATCGGTGTCTTCTAAGCAAATCTTGGCAGTTTCTCCAACTAAGGAAAAAACAAAGCAAGCAGTAGTCAGTTAATATTTTCATTACATTTAACATTACATTGCTATTTTATACATTCCACATTATTTAGCAGTCATGATTTTAACACTTGCCAAAAGTATACCTGTTTCTTGTTCAGCAAATTATACAGAACTTCTGAAATATCTTTTGACCACTCAAATGCTGACCATTGTCTATTACAGAAACGCCAACTCCTCAGGAAGGCAGTACAGATCCTTTGTTACTGGTCTCCGCTTAGTTTTTCAGTTCCATTTTCTGGGCTTTTCATGTCTGCATCTACTTTTCAATTATATCCTACGGCTGAAGGTTTCAAGTATATTCCATTTTCTCATTTTTTTCTCCACAGGTACCCATGCTACGTCCTCTGCCCACCCTGGCTAGCCTGCTGCTCAACTTCAGAGCCGGTAGAACAGCCATTCTTTCTCTCCTCCCCTTCCTGTCTCTTTGTCACTTTTGCCTCAAGGTCTGACACGTTCAGTTCCATGTCCCCTGAGAACCACATGATTCCTGAATTAGGGCCTTCAGCTAAGACGGTTCACACGGCTGTCTGTCCCTCTCTATTCCAAGGTCTACAGAAGCAGAAATTTTCACTGTGCTCTCCTAACACTTATTATATAGGATGCTTATGAAATGTGGGTTAAAATTATTGAAGGCTTCATTTAAAGGGAGACTAGAAAAGTGAACTGATAATAGACTTTCTAAAGCAATTCACATATTTGATTTTTTTTTTCCTCATTGAGTTTATTGGTACATTTTAGGTACACAGTACAGTCACATTCATCATTGGGATCTTGTACCTTTACATGACAGGTCTTGGCTCTCATTTCTTCCCTTTGTCACTGCCCTCCCTTCACTTCCTCCCTTCCCTATTTACAAATAATTTATTTCCATTTTTTGTTTTCTCATATTTTTTCTTTTCCCTTATTTCCTTTCCCCTACCCTTTCCAATTCCCCTAAACCTTAAGCCCTTTTCTTCCTATTTCACATTGTAAATTATACCATTAGGATCTTATGTACAATTATAGTTTTTCACACCAGAGAAACTATTTGGTATTTACACATGCATAACTTATTTATTTCACTTGAGTATACCCTAAATATGCATCCATTTTCATATTAATAACTCTAATTTCTCATTCTTTATGGTTGAGTAGTACTCCATTTTATTTAAAAAAAAATGCATCTTCTTTAGTCTCCAACTGATGGGTAAATGGCCTGTTTCCAAGTTTTGGCTATTACAGACTGTGCCACTATAAACATGGATGTGTGAATCCTCAGTAGCATGGGAACTAGCAGAAAGAATCAACAACTGGGATCTCATCTTACTAAAAAGCTTTTGCACTGCAAAAGAAACCATCAATAAAACTAAGAGACAACCTACAATGTGGGAAAAAATTTTTACCAGCTGCTCCTCAGACAAAGGAGTATTAGCTAGAATATATAAGGAACTCAAAAAACCAGCCCCCCCAAATATAAAGACCCAATTCAAAAATGGGCATCTGAAATCAACAGACATTTCTCAGACAAAGAAGTAAAAGAAGCAAGTAAATATATGAAAAAATGTTCCACTGGTCTTTCGAGAGATGTAGATGAAAACAACATTGAGATTTCTCCTCACCCCACAAAGAATGGCTGCTACCGAGAAATATACCAAAAACAAATGTTGGTGGGGCTTTGGGGAGAAAGGAACCCTTCTCCATTGTTGGTGGGAGTGCAGACTGGTGCAACCACTGTGGAAATCAATATGGAGATACCTCAAAGAACTGGGACTAGAGGTTCCATTTGACCCAGTCATCCCTTTGCTGGGCATCTTCCCAAAAGAATTAAATGAATCATGTCACAGTGACATATTAAAATATTTGAATTTTAATTGCTATATTGACAAATGATAATAATTCCTAGCTTTGTTAAATTACATTGCAATTCTAAAATTATTTTTAAATCAATTTCAACAACTTGAAGTTCACCAATCTCATTTTTACACATACTTTGACAGCCTCTCAGCTGGTGGGCCTACGGTTGTTATGGCTTGTGTTTACGTATTCATCCAAAGCCTCACGCTTTTTTGGAGGTGGCTGAGTGTGGAATGTGTGATGCTGGGAGTAAGGGGCTGTGATTACTAAACCACTACACATGAGTGACTGGTTTGGCACCTCCCTCATCCTGGTAGTTTGGATGGGACAAAAGGGGCAGAAGATGCTGTTAAGGTCACTGGTGGCCTTTGCTCCCTTGTGTGCTCCATGCTGTTTCTCCTCTGTGACGCCTGTCTGCCACCCATCCTGGATGGAACCAGCTCACTGTTGACTGAGAACTCTACAAACTGTGAGCTAAATAAACCCTTTCCCCTCTGAGTGTCAGGGATTTTGTTTCAGCAATGAGAGAATAGTAACTAACACACTTAAATTTAGGCACTGTTCCCATGAATGAAAAGATTAAAACCCTATAGGCCTGGCCTGAGGATTTAGCTCAGTGGTTCTGCTGCCTGCCTTGCAAGTGTAAGGACCCAAGTTTGATCCCTGGTACCAAAAAACAAACAAACAAACAAACAAAATCCTATAGGCTTGACTAAAAGTACACTTTTGTACTCATTAGATTTTCCCCATAACAGCTAAAACCTGAATGATTTCCAGAAAAATAAAACTTAATAGTAAAATTCAGCCTATCCAAATATGAACAATGAACAGAGGGCACCTAAAGTAGCAGCGAATATTTCAACTTTGGGCAACTAGTAAGATGAAAATTCAAAGGTCATGTTCACAATAGTTTAAAATGTTTCCATATAAATTTTAATTAGCACTAGAGAGACTTTACACTTAACCCAGAGCTGTATGTGGGTACTGCTTAGTATGCAAGTCTGTGCATTTGCGATTATCTTATTTTTCTATGCTATAGGAGAAGAAGCCATATAATTGCCCCACAGGGAAAATGTGCTTTGACTTCAGTCTAAATAATTGGCTCTTTTGTGTATTAAAAATATGGCTAAAATAGACTACACTTCAGACTATGGCTTATTTCCCTTAACAATATAGAACTGTGAAGATATGAAGAGAAATCAAGTGGATGTTTTGAACCTCCGTAAACCAAACAGTAATCACATTTTCTATGGTGTATTAAGTATACCAGGTACACATGAAGGAAAACAGTCAACAGTTTTAAGTAGTCTTCTTTAAGACTAGAATGTGCTAAGTACAAAAGGGAGATTATTTTAGTGGGAGACTGGATTGCATGTGTTTAGTCATTTTTGGTATGTTTATTCAGCCAAAAGTGACACAAACAGTAACAATTCAGCTGGCTGGGAAATATAGGAAATGAAAAATGCTCTCATATATTCTATAAATGATAATATAAGAAAGAACATTAATGCACATAACAGACCATTGAAGATTATCTGGCTAGCAGAATATGGCAATAAAACAAACCAGAGTAGATATTTATTTGCTGAAAAAAAAAAGTTTACAGAGTCCTAAAATCCTGAAACTAATGCATGATAAACTGAAAGATTCAAAAAAGAAGGAAAGATCTGAAAAATAATATGGGCATAAGAAGTGATTATTTAATCCAGTAAAATCATGAGCATTCATGGACCAACTTACTGTGTATTGAAGAAGGAAAAAAAAACTGTAACTGATCTGAAAATAACACATTTTTCTAATCATTCCATGCTTTATAATTCATTGTTAAAAATGGAATGTTTTAATTAATGTATCAATTCTTGATGCCAATTACTTCATGCCTCCTGATGCCAGTCCTGGGATTCCCTGGGCTGCAATTTTCAAATTATTGAGTATTTCTAATATTATTTTCAAATAGCTTCCCGTTTCTGTCCTCTGCTTCTTAAACACTCATTAGGAAGGTATTAGATGTACTCATTCTATCCTCAATGTTTCTGGCTCATGCTGTTTCACCTTTGCCTTCAGGTACTGCGTCTTGGTGACTGACTCATACTCCCCTAAGGTTACTCTTCATCTCTACCTCTGATAAGTTTATTTAACTATTCCACGGATATTTATTTTTAATGATGATTTTATTTCTTTCCAGAAGTTAAATTCAGTTATTTCAATCTAATATTCTGCTTTTTTCCCCATGCTTCCATTTTTTTTACTGTTTTATGATCCTAGTAGCAAATAATCTTGACACCATACATTCACACTGGCTTCCTTCTTGCTCAAAAGTTTCTATTGTTCCAGCAATTTTCGTGTCACGTTGTTGTTTTGGAGTTGTCATCCTGACATCATGTACGATGTGAGGTGGCACAAGTTTAGAGTATGGATTTCACTTTTGTTTTTCACACTTTCTAAGCCTCTGGACAGGCCACTCCTTTTCTGGAGGTCTTCCTGATGTGCAGCAATTTTTCTAGTAATCGAAAGGCTGAGATTTTATGTGAAGAGTTGAAGTACAGCTCTCCTATTATCATAGGGATTAAAACTCCCAGCCCCAGATTCCACATTCTATGTCCAGGACCACAAATCATTTCAGTTTCTGCAAAGTTTGCTTTTGCCCGTAATCAGGTTTTTATGCCTTGCTTTTGGATATACAACTTAGACATTTTCTTTCCCTCTGCAAATTTCAGTTAAGAGTAATAATGAATCTTTTTAAAAACTTATTTGCATTTTTGTAATAAGTAAGAATCACATTCTATGACATGATTTCATTTTCTGTATTATAATTTTAATAATTTGATATTTGAAACATTTTTAATAAAAGCCTCATAAATGAATTTCATCCTAATGATGCTCCTTAGTAAAAATTTTATGTTAATTGCATTTTGTCTAATAGTAGGTTCAAATATTAACAAAGCACTGTGACACATACAATCTCTTTTCCTTGTGTTCTAATAAAAAGTAACATATATTAGTAGCTGAGGGTCTTAATAAAAATAGAAATATTAAAGAGTACTTTCAATGATAGAGAGAATTTTTATGCAAACATAGTTTCCCTTTGCTTGTTAATACACGGATTTTCTTTTCACTTACTCATTTT